TTAAGGGACTAAAGTTAAAATTTTATCATTTAAGAGAGTAAAGGTTTGACTGGCTCTAAAATAATACTATCAAATAGTTTAAGTTTCATTCCCGTTAAAATTTTGATATCTTTCATTTATTTCAATGAATACTAATATGTATCGAATCTATTGAACGATCTCAATAATTAAATAGAGCGTTGTTATCTCTTGATGTTTGAAGTCGAGTAATTATGTTTGCAGAGTATATATTATTAATAATTTAAAAAAAATGAACATATACTATTTTATAACCATCCACAATATATCATAAATTATATATATATATAACAACAATGCATAAATTTTATTAGACACTTTACATTATATTATTTCAACACAATTTATATTTTTTTGATTAATTCTTTATTTTACTGATGGAGTTTACCCTAAAATTTTAGTTGTGTTTATCGTCCAAAATTTTCGATTACTAGTCTTTGTGTACCCACTCTCAAAATTATTTCTAGATCCGCAACTGACTTTATCCATAATGTATCAATATCATCGTTAATATTCGGTTTTCGAACAACGACAACATTCCATCTTCAACGAAAAAAATAGTTCTTTTTTCGTATATATTTAAACTTTATGAAATAATTGTTTATAGATTAGATTGAGTTAAATTTTTAAAATATATATATATAATTTATTTTAAGATTTAATTTGTTAGATATAATCAATTAAGTTTGTGATGTATTGATAATTGATTAGCTCATATTCTCTAATTTTATCATTTTAAATTATTGTATTTTAATTCTAATTTTAGAATTTAAAAAATGCATAGATTAAATATGAAAATAAATTGAGTGGGTGATTTAAATTGATAACTTTCAAATGTTATAAAGATTTTGGCTAAAAAACGAATTGAAAAATAAAATATTTTGTTAATTAAGTTTTAATTAGTACCGTTAAAATTGTTGATTCAAAAGTACTTATCTATATAATATCCAACAATCAATTGGTCTAGTGGGAAGAATCATTAGATCTATTAAGTAAGGTTAGAAGTTCGAATCCTAATAAATACGAATGGAGTAAACTGGGTTGAGAGGGTCGTCTTTTCCTTTGTAGTACCCGATCCAGATTAGTCGATTAATAGATCGGATACCGATGATCATACAAAAAAAAGACTTAAAAGGACTCAACAAAACAACAACATATACTTGAGAGATCATTTTGTAATTTTTGATAGTCGGAGACTCAATAAAATAATACCCTATAATAAAGGGACCATAGTATAATTTACCCAATTATAAATTTGTTATAATTACATTTTAATTATAAAATTTTCCACATTTTTCTCCTAAAAACATGATGTTAGTAGACACAAACCTCAATAAACTTACATCGGAACTATACATCCCTTTGTCTGGTAAAAGGAATGTTTTAATCACTTGTTGAACAAGTACAGATTCCGCATTCCCCCCCCCCCCCAAAATAAGGCGTTTTTTCAAAAAAAAAATCATATTTTTAATTTAATATTCTCGATCAGTTACCAGTCAAACTATATTTCTAGATCTAATACTCTTTACAACTTAAATCCATTTTATTTTTATGGACATCAAAAAAGATCTATATTCCCGATCAGGTAACAGTCAAACTATATTTCTAGATCTAACACTCTTTACAATTTAAATCCATTTTATTTTATGGACATAAAAAAAGATCTTGTAGGCAGAATCCACCCAGCATATACTTATATATTAAAAAAATCAATTGAAAAAAAAATCAAAAAATATATAATAAATTACATATTTAATACTTAAACTATCGTTTTTATTTCGTTTTAGTACATAATTTTTTTAAATTGCACCTAACATGTAGTTTATGTTTCAATTTGGCACATTCTCGTGAAAAAATTAGCATAAATGTTGACATATCTTTTTTTCAATAATGACATGACATTATCTTATGATGACATGTCAACATATCAGTTAAGTTTTTAACAACGATTTTTGCTCAAAATGAAACATAAAATAAACATTAGGTATACTTTTGAAAAACAATAAAGTTTAAGTATCAAAATAGAACAAAAGTAATAATTAAGATACTAAACATGTAACCTACCCAAAAATAAAATACTATGAATAATGAAAAGATGGATAATGGAAATGTTATTTGGACAAATATTAAGACATTCATTTTTAGCGGATAATGAAATCTATTCGTATAGATGACAATTATAGATATTTTATAACACCTCAAATTTTAGGCTAATAGTTTAAGGTTTTTCTAAGAGGCATATGTCTCGATGATTTCATAATTTAATTCGTTGGGCCGAGTGTGGGTTTAATTGGATGAGAATTGGATCCAAATAATCATAAAAAGTGATTTTTACATAGTAGAAAAATGATATCAAAAGTGTAATTATCCCATTTCTTAAAGATAAGAGCTTTTATCTCATTCTTCTCTTCATTTTCTTCTCATTTCCTTCTCCCATTTCTTCTCTAAGTTCCACAGCTAAAGGTGAGCCATTTATGCTTTATAATTCGTCCCTAATCTCATTAGTAACATCCTATATGTTTAGAATCTCATAACTTTTCTTTTTGGCTAGAAAAAGGGGTTGAGAATAATCTTAGTTCAAGAATAGTAGAAAGAAGCAAAGTTTGTTGCGAAATGAGCTTCATTTCGGGTTTCTAACATCAAGGTAGTGTATTTACAATCTTTTGTGGTGTTAAGGCTTTTATAAGCATGAAGATTTGTTAAAATTTTAGTATTTGAGCATTTTAGGGTTTATGCTTGATTTCATGATTAAATGACATTTTTGATGTAAAACATGTGTTTTTATGACACTTTATTACCCTAAATAACTTCCTAAAGCTCTAGCACATGAATTTGAACCATACTAAGACCTTTGGGATTGTTTTTGGCGTTTTCCGAACTTAAACAAGGCATTTATAGGTTCGAGTATCAATATTGGATGAATAGTATTGATATTGGATCAACTGGGACAAAATCTAGGCATTTATAGCATGAAGTATCAATACCGGGGGGAGAAATTGATACTGCCCCTATAGTATCAATACTAAAGATACCTAGTATCGACATTGGGCCAATTTTCAACAAATAGAAGCCATTTTTGTATCAATACTCATGGGGTATCAATACTTGATCCTAGGATATCGATAATGTAAGCAGAGTATCGATACTACTCACTTTAGATGGTTAGATTTGACCTCGTTAAGGTCTGTAAAAGTTAAGGATGGTTTGTAATGAAGGAACTTAGCCCATGAGGGACATAAGTGACCAAGGGAGCCTATAAACACTCATAAGAGTGGACTAAAACATAAGTAATCATACCAGAGCGTAATATGTCTAAGTATCTTCAATTGAGCACGTATCAAATAATTAAGAACCAAGATCATTGTAGAAGATGTATCGACAAACGATACGATAAGTAAGTCAGATTACGTAGTAGCGAAGTCGTATACTTCAAAAACGTTAGTGAACGAGAACATATAAGTTGTCACTCTAATTCAAGGGGTTGTGAAGATAAGTGCGATAAGAACGACTAGAGTGTCGCTACCCAATAATGAAACCGAGTCAGATATCAAGCTAGCTAGTATTACAGACAGTGAACAACAAATACAATAATCATCATAAAATCATAAAACGTATAAAGACCTCTTTAAATATAGAAATGACTAAAATACCCTTAAGAGACAATAATTATAATAGAGTAACTTAATGAGTTATCAGAAATAATAGACTAATAACCTTTTATATAAAAGGACGAATGAGATAGTAGCTAGTAAAGAGGATGATCTTATCTTAGTATGTCGAACTATGCCAATGTGTGATGAGGTTACCTCAGTTGCCTTAATGGGACATTGTCAGTGGTGAGTAGCTAGGTTACCTCAGTTGATCTTGTTGGGCATTGTCAGTGTTTTATGGCCTTAAGCCCTCAGTCATGCAAGTATAGTTCATTAGTCTAGTACAACATATATCCTTAAACCTAGATTCTAGTTGTTTGGAATTATAAGAATGCCTTAGAAACTGTTCCAATGTACCAAATTATGCGGGAAGTTATATAGTGCAGTACTCTTAATATACAACTAAGAAAAGTTGTTACCGATTTTGTTATTATTTAAATAACAAAATCGGTAAAAAATTACCTAAAACATCAATGTTTTTTAACATTTCCGGTAAAGTGTCCAACAATAACAAAAACGGTAGCGCTTTACCGGTTTTGTTAACAAAAACCGGTAAAATGCCCAATAATAACAAAACCAGTAGAAATAATAATGTTTCCGGTAATTTTTTTACCGGTTTTGTTATTTAAATAATAACAAAACCGATAACACATTTTTTAACAGTATATTAAGACTGTCACACGTGATCATTTATCAAATTATGCCTTTTCCTGGGCTTTGAAGGATCAACATTGAGAAGTATTTATGCTATATGTACATTCTTTTAATTGAATTGTATATGATTTTGTATTTGTTTGCTTTGTTAATGACAAATTGTTATTTTTGGATTTATGATATATATATATATATATATATATATATATATATATATATATATATATGTGACTCTCTATTTAGTTATACTTTTAAGTCTGGCACGAATCAAACAGTCTCGTGGTAAATGAATTGTTGTTATTCTTTAAGGAATTAGGTTCGAACACCATAGATGCTAAAAGTGTAAACTTTTAATGTCAAATGATTGAGAGGTATTTTTGAATAAATATTTACTTTTCAAATGTTAGAAGTTCTGGGTTCAATCAGTTGTGTCTACGAGTGTATATGTTATCAGTATTTAAAAAAGATTATGAATAAATATTACTTTGTAATGACTCTAAATTATTTTTTAAAAAATTATTTTATAGTAGAGGGACTAAAATAAACTTTTAAATATAATAAAGGGACTAAAATGTTTCTTAGACAAGCCCAACTAAACCCGATTAGGAAACTCGTTACCTCCCTATTAATCCAACCCATGACTGATAGCTAACCCTATTTTTTAACCCAAATTCTGAAAATCTCTGAAAAGAGAATCCCAAATTCATTCGTGCAACCGTCGCTGCTCCGGCCTACGAGACTTCAGCTGACCTAGTCGCTCCTCCTCCCTCCTCCGCCGCCTCCACCGACGGTGTCTTCTTTGGTGCAACCTTCTTTGCTACTTTCTTCGCTGCTTCCCTTCTGGCTTAAGAACGTGAGTTCTAGCTCTTTTTTTGGGGATATTCACTGGCTTTTCGATCATGATTCGAGAGGACCTTGTTTTCCTGCGCTCTTTTTTTTATTTGAATTAGTTTTTTTTTGTTTTCTTCCCAATTGAATTTGTTGAAGGCATAATTTTATTTTATTTTTCGATTTATTTCACTATGCATTATTTCAATTGTTGTGTACTTAGTTCCCTGTTTTCACATTTGCAGGACCTAGCCTTCTAGTTGACGCTGCCTGTGCTTGTGCATTGCCCTTATAATTTATCATCTGCCCTTACCCTTGAGGATGAAGATGTATGTCCCATTCCTTCTTTAGCTTTACTTTGTAATCTTATCATTTTCAGTCAAATTATTGGCCATTTATCTTCTGTAATAAGGTTGACTCTTCTACAGAAAAGAAGCTAATGCCGGCGCACTTACGAATTTTGAAGTACTCGACTTTCTACGATCTCGAGGGGCGTCGAAGGATCCGACAAGAGTTATTGCTCCAATAGCACCATCCGAGTTTAAGGTTGAATTTTTATGTTTATTTGTTTCCAATTTAGACTGTAATGGTATAAGTATTAGAAATGAGAAACGGTATCCGTCGTCTTTCTTATTGTATTCTAGGTTTATGATTATTTACTGGAGAGCCCCGCTTGCAATCAAACAAAAGAACAAATCAACAAGTTCTTGACAAGGTGTAAAAGTTATAAACTTGCAAAAGCTGAGGTGCTCAATATCATCAACCTGAGACCATCTGCATTAGTTGAAATCGACCCGGTAAAACTTTTCTTTTACATGTTGGTGTGTTCTAGTGATGTATTGCTTTGAGAACCAGTATCTTATTCATGTCATCCATTGCAGAATCTTGTTTTTATAGCTACGTTGCATTCACTAGGATATGGGATTTTTTATGCCAGCAGTGAACAGTATGACATCCCGTGGACTTTCTTTTATGCTTCGATTAATTCCTTCATGTTAAATAGTATGTCGAATGTTGGAGCATAATATAATTGTTCTGCATTAGAGAGTGACATTATTGCATAGCCACATTGATTTGTCAATGAACCGTCTTCTTTGAACCCAGGGTAGCCACTTGTAGAGATGGTCTCAAGTAGGTTTAGAGTTCAAATTCCAACATCTGCAATCTTTTACCCGTCTTATTTAGTAATTGGTAGTTACTTTACTTAATTTTGCCTTTTCTCTTCCCAGATAATAGAGGAATCCGAAAAGCGATTTGGAGAACAACTAGAAGAGCTGGTTAATTTGGTGGTGGAGGTGTTGCCGGAGCCTCCTAAACAAAATGTCCCTGAAGAAGAAAACAACGAGCTTAAAGAAGACACTGTGGACGAAAAAGGAACGAATGAGGATAAAACGGAAACCACAAACCTTGAACAGATCGATGAGGATCAAACGGAACAAAACGAAGATGGTGAGCAAATGGAGATTAGTTAAATGCCCTCTATGCCCTGATAATTCCGATGCCAATGGCGCTCCTGGTTTGCTCATCTTATGAACTGAAGTTCATGCATTTGGAAACCCGGTAACATCGGTGGAATCATCATAGGATGATGTAAAATTAAAATCTATTACTATGTGATGCTTTATCTATATGGTGTAAGGTTGTTTGTGACATGTTCAGTTGAGGGTTTAGGTTTAGGATTTAAGACTATTATTTCAACAATTAATGAAGGATAAGTAGATGCATTGTTTTTCATTGATATGTTGTATTAAAGACATTTTTATTTTCAAGGTCCACATGTTATTTTTCTTAATTTATTTGATCAATAGGTTATAATAAAACCTAGCAACCTCAGTGATAAACGAATTATTGTTGTTCTTTGAGGTTTCGGGTTCGAGCATCATAAATGTTAGTAGTGTGAGCATTGTTGTTGTTCCTTGAGGTTTCGAATTCGAGCAGCATGAATGATATGGGTGTGAGCGTTCAATCTCAACCGGGTGTGTGTTCATGTATGAAAAGCCATCAACAATTCACCTATGACCATGATTTCAATTGTTAATCAAGGAATCTTCTATTGGCCGTGGAGGTGATAACTGGAAGACACTTTTAACTTGGCATAATGACCTTCTTGCCCCTTAATTATATTAGTTTAATTATTTCAGTCCTTAATCTTTTTTTATGTTCTTTTCGACATCTGACTTTTTTTTTGTCGAATTGACTCAAATGTGATGAGTGGCAGCCCTATTTTTCTTTATTAAAATGTTAATGTCAGCTAATTTATTTTTTTATATCACATCGTAAAAGACATTTAAAATTTATTAAAAAAAAGTAAGTCGATGGCAACATCTCAATTATGACAAATGTAATAAATTGAAAGAAATGTAGTAAAAGTTCAAGGGTCAAAATGATTAAACTAGTAAAATGGGGGCTAAAAATGTCATTATATCTTTTAAGTTTAACAATAATTTTTTAATTATTTATTTGAAATCAATCAAATAATTATCACCTTTAGAGTGCGTTTAGTTCACGGAATGTAAAATTACCAGTGAGAATAAAAGATTACCAGAGAATAGGATTACTGGGAATGTTATATTTTGTGTTTGGTTGGTTTAGCGGGAATGTAAGATTACCGTGTTTGGTTAAATGAATAAAATATTATTGGAATATATATTTGATCAAATTGTCATTATTATATATTTGTTTTTTTTAACAAGTTAGTAAATATTTATATATTTTCTTTAAAAAATTTAAATTCATAAAATTTATATAATTTTTTTTACAAAATTAAAAAATATAAAAAGGTTTAATGAAAGGGTAAAATTTTATTTTAACCCCTGAACTTCATATAAAATTTTAATTATAGATTTTTTTTGTAAATCTAAAATAGTTTAAAGATAAATTTGTAATTTAACCTTCATAGAATTTTTATTATTCAATAACAGAATAAGGATATTTTTGAAATAAAGAAAAAAGTTAAAGGCATTTTAGTCCAAAACGTCGGTAATCCAACAATACCTAAGGAAATAAAGGTAATGACATTCCCGGTAATATACCCAAAAAATCCACTATTAATAATGTAAGATTACCGGGAATGACATTCCCGGCTAACCAAACGGGGGAATGACATTCCCGGCTAACAAAACGGGAGAATGTGGATTCTATTCCCATGAGAATCTCACATTCCCCCAACCAAACACACCCTTAGTATTATAAATTTGGAATTCGAATTCAAACTTTTTATTTTATCCCAAAGTTCAAGTTGACCATAGCTGAATTTACGGAATATTAAACCTAATATTTGGATATAAAAATGACCATATCCCCTAAAATAAACAAATATGAAATTCAACGAGAATTATAGAAGCTTAGGTCACGTTTTTTTTCCTGTTTTTATGACATGTTTTATATATATTTATAATAATTTTTTTCGTTTTAATTTAATTTTTTTAAGATAAAATTTAACGTTGTCTCAACTGATTAAGATACCACTTATTTGTTGTAAACTAATTGGCAAATCAATTGTGAAATTTTATTTATAGATTTATAAACTTTTATATCTTGTTTAATTTCTATTAAATTATTAATTTAATCTATTAATTTTTCAATAACTTTTAAATTTAATTATAATCTTACCTGAATACGAGGGAAAAGAGGACTCTAAGGGAATGAACGATAGTACTCCTAGTGAGTCTAGAACCTATTACTTAAGAAAATATGAGAGAATAAAGATGAACAACTTCAACAACCGATCAAATATATTTGTACAATTTATTTTATTAAATTAAATATTGGTCTATTATCTATTGTCTATTAGAGTTATTGTCCTATACATATATTAATAGTGGAAAAAGTATTTTATAAGTAGAGATTAATATTAATGTTTATTTTATTTGAAGTTTAAAGATTAAGATTTTAGAATTTTTAATTTAAAGACAACTAGGTATTAGAGGTTTATGTATTTTAAAAAAAAATAACGTAGTTATCATATTATTTTTCCTTTTAATGTGATCTTCAAATTCAAAAAATAAACTTAATGTGATCATTCGATTAACGTTTTTCCTTCGTTGACCATTATCATGTTGGAGTGGTAGTTCACGTGCTGACTTGACAGTCTATGGTACTGTTGTGACAGTCCATCTATCATGATTGAGAATCTATCTGTTATGATTGAATTATCAATTTAACTTATCAGTCATATCATCCGTCACATTATCAACTAAAATTAAATGTTATGTCAGTACAATAAACTGTCATGTTAACATCGTAAAAATTGTCAACAAAAAACATTGAATTTATTTTTAAATTAAAAGATATACAAAAATAATACAAAAAAACCTTTGATGATTTTTACCTAATTTAGAATTTAAGATCCATTTTTTTATTTCTAATGCTAGTCATGATGATAAAACTAATGATATGGACGTGTCATTTCCTCCTCATGGGAAATGACAATAAAGTCCTCCCTTCATCTCTTTCTGTTTCTTAAGGATTCAATTCATCAGGTCAACATTCTAGACTTTTCACGCTTGCACGCCCAAACAAATATAAAGGGTCTATCGGTCATTTCATTTGTCACCAGCGAATTCTTAAACCTCCATCCTCAAATTCTCCACACCATATAGCGTTGCCTCGAAGCGATTTTTTTATAGAAGAAAGGGGAGAACTTTTTCGTTTTTCTTCGACGAAAAAAAATCTCTGAACATGGTTGCCTTGGACAAGGTAAGCTGTTTGTTTTATTGGAAAAATTCTTTACCGCATAATTAAATTTTTTTCCGAGAAAATTTTTCGATGAACAGTTCTTGTTTATGTCAAGTGTTTCCGATTTTGGGTTTTTAGATTTCCTTTCTGGTAAGCTGCTGAATTTGAGGGGATTTATTTTAAAACAAAGGGTTTCTTTTTATAAATTTAAAATTATAGCCATGGAATTGGAAAGCTATTACCTTTGTTTCAATTACTGGCCTGGCTTGGTAAAGTTGTTTGCTTTACTGGGTATCTTTATCTTGATGTGTGCTCCTTTTTGGTGTTAATTATACTTTGGTCTTATATTTACATGTGTTCTTTTGAATATTCGTGTTTAGTTGATATTGATGCATGCTGGTATGTTGCTCGAATCATGTGCTTTAAGGATTAGAAGTCAAAATCCTAAACCCTTTTTGGTCATTTTTGAAGAATCACTCCTCCAATTGAGGATTTGATGAATAAGCTTGTTGTCTAGTGTTTAATGATTGCTTGATTGTTTATGATGTGGCATTGTGAGGAGTAAATTGGTTCATAAACTAGTTAATATTGATTTTCGGGTTTTCTTTGGATCGATATGTTATGTATGTTCTAAGAATACTGGAAAAATAAATGAGGCTTTTGTGTTATGTACTTCTGTAGAGGGAGGAAGTGATTCAAGCATGGTACATGGATGATAGTGATGAAGACCAGAGGCTTCCTCATCACCGTGAGCCGAAGGAATTTATATCCTTGGATAAACTTGCAGGTAAGCATCCAACAAGAAACAATTGTTACTTGATTATCGAAAGATTTTTGACATAATACTCATCGCGGTAGTCATGTTTACCTTGAAGAACTTGGAGTTCTCAGTTGGCGATTGGATGCTGATAACTATGAAAATGGTGAAGAGTTGAAGAAAATACGTGAAGAACGTGGTTACTCCTACATGGTGTGTACCTTGTTTAATTTTCTTTTAAAAATTTGTCCCTACGATTTTGATGTAAACAAATGAATCATTCTTGGCCTTAAGGATCCGGGGGCGGGGACTTTCTCGGTCTCCTCTTGTTTGTTTGCCTGCATACCTGTGTCGGTTTCGTGGTTTTTGTTTAAAGCTTCTAATTGTTCTCTTCTTCCTCTTGATAGCCTTTAACCGGACTGTACAACACCCTTTCATTGACAAGATACTCTATTTCTTTAGGACTTTTGCGAGGTTTGTCCAGAGAAGCTGCCTAACTATGAAGAGAAGATCAAAAACTTCTTTGAAGAACATCTTCATACTGATGAGGAGATCCGTTACTGTGTGGCAGGAAGTGGTAAAAATGATCATATTCGACTATTTTCTTTATCGATTATCATTTCTGTTGCTAATTGCTACCTCTCTTATCAATTATTTCTTTGTGAAGGCTATTTTGATGTCAGGGATCACAACGATAAATGGATTCGCGTGTGGGTAAAGAAAGGAGGCATGATAGTTTTACCTGCCGGGATTTATCATCGCTTTACTCTGGATACGGACAACTATATTAAGGTACTAAGCAACCTACCTTCTTCTTCTTCGTCTTCCAAAAAGTGCTTATTTTAATAAATGAGCATGAAAGTTCGATAATGTTTGAAAAGATTGTCTCTGCTTATCCCACCACTCCCACAAATTTATCGATGTAGGCAATGCGTCTCTTTGTCGGTGATCCAGTTTGGACTCCATTCAATCGTCCACATGATCATCTTCCCGCAAGGTATGTTTCTTCCTCCGAATGTGGTGAAAATCTCGACTTCCTCTTCACGTTTTCCGGAGGGGATCAATCATAATCAACATTTTATTTCCATTGCAGGAAGGAGTATATTCAGAACTTTTTGGAGAAGGAAGGTAGTGGTCAAGCTGTTGATACTGCAGCATGAAATCGGCAGCAATCGTCTCTCAGGTATACTGTCTTATAGAACCCTAGTATAAATATGGAACTTCGGATTGTCAGTAATAAACGAGTCAAGGCCTGTCTGCATGTGTTGTGTGGATGTATGGCTTGTTAAGGTTGTTGCATGCTTATGTATTATTGATATTCCATACCGAGGATTTCTGTGTTATTTGGTTTGTGCTTTGTACAATACAAGCTCTTTAATAATCAAGTTTAAGTCATATACATTGCTAGCTTGTTTATGCTACTGCTTCAAAATGTTTTTGTTTGCGATTACATCTTTTATCTTCCTCTCCCCAAGAATGAAAACCAAATCAGACGTTAAACCGGTTAGTCTTTTGATTTTCGGTTTCTCGGTTGAACTGATCTGTTTCAAGTCAACTCATGAAACTGGTAATATGCCAAGTAATCTTACAGATTAATTAGATTAACCAAAAAAATATCTTGCATTCCACACATATCTGGTAACATGCTCGTACGTTTCGTTACTTTTATTTAATGCTTCTTTTGTCCTAATAGTTTTGAAATTAGACAAATCGGACCTCAGTTAGTGTTGATAGAGATCCTAGTGTCCCTTATTTCTATTTATTTTCCTTTGTGCATTTCACTTTGATGGGGTATTAGCAAATTTCCAGGTATATTCAGATAAGATACCCATTTCTCTTTTGCTAATGACTTCATCAACAGGCACAGCATAACAAATTTCCTTCAAATCCTCTTCACCAAGCTTCAGTCCCAAGGATCCAACATTGTTCATAATATTCTTCACCTTAGTTGTCCCTTCATTCAATTAAAAAAAATGGAGGTTAGTTGTCAAATTCATATAAACATAAGCTCGAGTCGAGCTTGGACTCGACTCAGCTCGATTACACAAAGCAAGCATACCAGGGATGGGGACAATATCATCTCCCTGGTGTAGAAGCCATGCCAAAGCAAGTTTAGGAACTGTGCAGCCATGCTTCATCGAAACTCGGGGATATAATAGTTTGTTCTTCTCTAGATTCTCTCCATTGAACCTTCGATAGTTTGCCTGTTCCAGGAAATAACCCGTTTCAATAATCAGACATTCTATATATATATTTCTATTCGGCCCGACTTATCAGACTGTATCGTGAATGCATAATACGACACAGTCCGATGGGTCGGGATTCACTGAAAAAAGGTAGAGAAATTGCCGTGTCCCGTTACCAATTGGCTGCCATTGGGCATGGTTTCCGCAACCACCCTGCCTCTGCAAAAGCCTCTACCCAGAGGACTATATGCCACTATCCCAATTCCAAGTTCTCTATAGCACCCAATTCCAAGTTCTCTGTAGGAATTGATGCAATAAATGATTCAAAGCTTTGATTTTGTGAACTTGAAAGACCAAAATGTGAGCTTTACCAGCAAAGTGGGAGTATTTCATCTTCGATTTCACTAGTCCAGATTGAATACTCCATTTGTAAGGCAGTGATGGGATGAAGTTTGTGTGCTCTCTTTATGGTTTCAACGCTAGACTCTGATAATCCAATGTATTTTATCTTTCCTTCTTCCACAAGCTTCTTCACCTCTCCCATCTTTACGTGAAGCAAGGTAAACGAGTTAGTTTCGAGTTGGATCGATTTAAAATGGGTTACTTCGATCACCGACTGAGTCAAAAAGTTGATGTTAACTTGAAAGAAGAGATTGGTTGATACTTAACTGTTTCTTCTATGGGTACTGAAGTATACACACGACGTTGGAAGTAAAGATCAATGTAATCCACATCAAGCCTCTCTAGACTTGCTTTGCAGCAAGCTCGAACACGACGATGAGTGCCCTTGACCTTGATTAGAGGATGCCCGTTCGATTCTGAATATATGAATCTGAATTTCGTTGCCACTTGAATTTTGGCTCGAGGAAGTCAGTTTAGGCAACGGGAATCTGAATTTCGTTGCCACTTGAATTTTGGCTCGAGGAAGTCAGTTTAGGCAACGGTTGCGAAGAAAATGGATTAGTCGATGAAACATGAGTTTTAAGTGTGTTGCTTGGGATATAAGAAACATGTTTTCGGGTAATTTTAGTGCCTAAAGGTCGCGAAGAAAACGGATTAGTCGATGAAACACGGGTTTTAAGTGTGTTGCTTGGGATATAAGAAACATGTTTCGAGTAACATTACCCTGGCGAGCATGACCTCGTTATCGTGTTATCTTGAAATCTGAATTTTCTTCGATTAGTTATTTATTTTAGGGATGATTCTTCGATTATTTACCTATTTTATGGATAGTGTCCACCTTAAAATTTTATTTGTATTCTTCCCATTTAAAAGTTTTATATTGTTAACATATGCGTGTTCACTCTGAAAAATATTTTTGGATCCGCGATCCTCCCCGGTGCGAGAGGGAAATAAGTGGACAAGGTGTGATTGGTCTGCAAGGTCCTAGAACAGGATGTGGACCAAACAAAGGATCCAAACAATGAATAAGGAGGGATCAGAATTCATTCAAAATAATGATAACAATTAAATTGATCGGACCGAAAATTGAAGACATGAACAGATTCATTTACCTTTAAAATCATCGAAATGTATAAATTACGAGAGCAACCAAAATTATCCTTTTCATAAAAAGAATTCAGCTATGACCAATCGATCTAAAACTGATATTATATTGATAGTAAAAAATAGGGACAATTACATGTTTAGTACTTAAATCATTAGTTTTGATCTATTTTAATTTTTTCAAAATTATATTTAATGTTTAGATTTCTATGCGACACATTTGTCGTTAAAAACTTAACGGGTGATTTGCATGTGACACATTTTTTTATGGGTAAATTGCATTGTTTACTTTTTTAATTTAATTCCTCAATTTTTAAATCACTCCTAATTAATCACTCTAACTATCAAAATTATTTTTTAATTATACATTAATAAAATAATAATAATAATAGAAAAGCCACGTCACAAAGATTATTAATAAATTAAATTAGAGTGATTAAAATAGGAGTAATTTGAAAATTGAGCAGTTAAATTGAAAATTTTTAAACTTAAATACCAAAATAAGAGTGAGCAGATAGTTGAGTGATGAATTATGCAATTTATCCCTAAAAAATTAAATGTTAGACACGAACATAAAAAAAATTAAAAGTTTAGGTACTGAAACTGATAGTTTAGACACTAAACACATAATTTACCCAAAAGTTAAAGATGGAAACATTAGTTTTAATTAAAATAACAAGAGGAAAAAATCGAATCAAACAAAGATATTGAACGTGGACGTAAATTTGGTCAAGTTCAATAGGTCTAAATTGTTCCATCAGCAACTTTGCCATATACAAAACGATATCTTCGGAAAAAGGTGTCGTCTTTGGATTCAAATCAAGAAGATTCCTCGAAGAAACGATGCAATCCTCATTTCTTAAAAATAAAAGTTTGCAACTTTAAATTAAAAAAAAGTTCACCTTTTTCAATAACTTAACAATTAATTTATTATATTTTCATAATAGACTCGTTATAAAATAATTTACAAATAGTGATCGTATCTCTACACCTTGCACAAGCTCAAAAGTTTACTATAAGATTTATCGATCGAGACCTAGAAAGGGATGCGATATCAATGAACCTACCCTACTCTTATATTTCTGCCTATGTATTTGTTTATGGGGACAAAACACTTCAACATCGACCAACAATCCATTTCTCACTATCGACATGTATTTAGAAATATAATAACATGAAGTATATAAGAATGGGAGTTTGTCTAATTCATCCATGTCTAAGACGTTTATGGATGGATAAAGATTTGCATAAACAAATAAGTTAATTAGAGCTTTGATAAGATAGGCAATGACGGATTGCATGAACGAGTGGCCAAATTTGACCTAAAACATTACCCCAAAAAGATGTTGATTAAATGAAGATCCAAAAATGAATTGATGCAGGAAAAAACGTCCAGGTTCATCCTCCCTCACACAAGCTTATAAAATCCAGCACCTGCCTTTGTCTCTCTGTCATAGCTCCTCAGCTTTAACCCAAAATTTTGTGTGTGTGTGTGTGTGTTTTAATTCAAATTTAACCCATAATCTCCGATGGCTTCCACAATTTTCACCCAAGTTCCGTTTCAATCAAACTCATTGAGCAAATCCTCGAATACCCATTTTGTTCCTTCCTTCAAGCTCCCCGTTTCGCTTTCTTTTAAGCCCCGGACCGCCCTCCCCAAGCGCTTCCGCATCCGAGCCGGTTTGATCGAGCCCGACGGCGGGAAACTGGTGGACCTCCGCGTGGAGGAGCCGGAGCGGGAGTTGAAGAAGAGGGAGGCGGCTTCGTTGCCCAGGGTGAAGCTGACTGAGATCGACTTGCAATGGGTTCACGTTTTGAGTGAAGGATGGGCAAGTCCGTTGACCGGGTTCATGAGGGAACCCGAGTTCCTCCAAACTCTTCATTTCAACTCGCTCCGGCTCGACGACGGTTCCTCCGTCAACATGTCGGTCCCGATTGTCTTGGCTATCGATGATTCCCAAAAGGCGAGCATCGGTGAGTCGAACAGTGTCGCTCTCGTTGAATCGGATGATAAACTCATCGCCATACTCACCGAGTAGGGTAAATTCACGAGATAATGTTCTCGAATTTTTTTTTCCACGATATGGTGCACATCATAGATTAATTGCTGGAATGGGGTGAATTCAACAGTGATTGCCATAGGACGCCATGCAATCCAGGCGACCTTGGAGGACGCCATGCAATCCTGGCGACATACGGGGTGACATACGAGGGTGACATACGAGCCATATACGAGCCATATACGAGTCATACGAGCCAATGGGGAGGATGCAACGAGGCAATGGGGAGCATGCAGGAATAGAGAGCCAATGGGGAGCATGCAACGAGCCATATACGAGCCCACGGGGAGCATGCAGGAATAGAGAGCCAATGGGGAGCATGCAACGAGCCATATACGAGCCAATGGGGAGCATGCAGGAATAGAGAGCCAATGGGGAGCATGCAACGAGCCATATACGAGCCATGCAGGAATAGAGAGGTCGCCATGCAGCCTAGGCGACCTTGTAGGTCGCCATGTAGTCCCGGCGACCTTGTAGGTCGCCATGTAGTCCCGGCGACCTTGTAGGTCGCCATGTAGTCCCGGCGCCATTCCATCATCCATGCACATGCACAGCCACATAGCCACATAGATCCTTCACGTGCTCCCCGCTGCATTGCCTACACCTCCCAATTCACGTGCTCCCCGCTGCATGCCTACACCTCCCAATGCATGCATGTGAACCATTTGAGGCATGTGAACCATTTGATTATTGGTACAATAATTGAACGCGTGAAATCAGCTGCAATTGTACAATTGGTGAAACGTGAAATAATTGAGGCCTCAGCCGGTTATAAAAGAAAGAAAGAAAGGGAGAAGAGATTGCAGAAGAAAGGGAGAGAGATTGCAGCCGAGAAAGAAAGAAAGAAAGGGAGAAAGGAAAGGAAGAAAGGGAGAAAGGAAAGTAAGAAGAAGAAAGGGAGATAGGTAAATTTTTTTATATTTAAATTAGTTTATTATTATAAATGTTTAATTTGTTAGTTTAGGGTTTAGGGTTAAACAAAAAGCAGTTAATTAGTTTGTTAGTTTAGGTTATATGATTGTTAGTTTAAGTTATAGTATACATAAATTAAAAATATTTAATTAGTATATGTTTGATAGTTATATAGTTAAAAATAATTAATTAGTTTGTATTGTTAATAGTTAGTTATATAAAAAAAATTATTTAATTAGTTTGTGTTAGTTAAATAGTTAAGTTATATTTGTTTGTTGAATTATATTATATAAAAAATTAGTTAGTAAGTTTATTAATAGTATATTATATGAAAAAATAGTTTATTAGTTAGTTTTAGTTATATAAAGAATATTTTATTAGTTGTTTAAGGGTTTAGCGTTTACGTTTAACTTATATTTTAAAAAGTTTAGTTTGTTAGTTTATTAGTTTATTATATTATATGTTATTATATTAAAGTTTAGTGTTGTAAATTAGTTAGTTAGTTTATATTAGATTATATTAAATGATTTTTTAAATATTGTTGTTTAATTTTTTTTACAGATTCATTCTAATGGCTGACCAAATTCCACTGTTGAGGCTTGACAATGAACATATTTCAAGTCATTTGGGAATAATGGTGAATAAAATATTTGTTTAATGAATTATAATTAATAAATATTTGAATATTATTTTATGATTGTGATAATTTTTTTGAAATATTTAATTGTAGGAGGACGAGCAGCGAGTCCTTCGTCTTCGACTACATAAAGTGCCCAAGCCACACCCACTAATAGAAGAAAATTTGCAAGAGGCTGGATTTTGGTATATAACATTTGTGCGAGATTACAAGTTGGTCCCAGGTTTGATCAGTGCGTTGATTGAACGTTGGAGACCAGAAACGCACACGTTTCATTTGCCGTGTGGCGAATGCACGATAACTTTGGAGGATGTAGCAATGCAACTCGGGTCCAAACTAATGGGATGCCGGTGGTAATGTCACATGAGTTTAATAAGGTGGAACAACTTTGCAACTTGTTTCTTGGGAAAGCGCCCGTACCACCAGAGTGTAAAGGGTGGCGGGTGAGGTTGTCATGGTTGAAGAATGAATTTCAACTTCAATCAAATAGTACGGAGCACGAAATTATATATGCAACACGAGCATATATATTACAATTGATTGGGGGAATTTGATGCCTGATAAATCCGGTAGTTATGTTCACACTCAGTATCTTCTTTTTTTAACAAATTTTGAGAATTGTAGGCAATATAGCTGGGGTTCGGCGATATTGGCGTTCTTGTATCGTGAGATGTGCAAGGCGTCATTAGTCGTGAATGATAATAATACAGTAGAAATCGGTGGATGTCTGTTGCTGCTACAATCATGGGCTTGGCATAGACTTCCGTTTTTGACACCGATTAGTCGGACTGCGGTTGACTTTCCACTTGCCGGAAGGTAATATGAATCCTCTATTTTAATATAAAATATTAATTAAAAAATATTTATTTTGATTAAAATTATTGAACAAAATGTCTCTATTTTTGTTTTGATTGATATACAGATGGAGGCATAAAATGAAGGCACAGGGTTGGTGCACAACAACATTAAAGAGTTCAGGTTGAAGATCGACATTAAGGCCAAAAAGGAGGTATGCATAATTTGTATTTTTTTTAATTATTATTTAAATTAACTATATATTTGATTTAAATAAATTTTATTGTTTTTGTAATTTACAGTTTAATTGGAGACCATACATGAATGAAGAATTATTTGCGTTGATACCGCACGATATTTTAGATGGGTTTCAATATTGGTGTGCTGTTACACCATTGATCAATTTTGCTTTGTTGAGATCCAATTTGGGGATAGAGTGCTGAGGCAATTCCACTTCCACCAACCTATTCCGCGGAGTCCATGGGCTCATGACCTCCTCCAAAACTTAGATGGTCGTCGTCCAGTGAATTGGGTTGAGACGCATGACGACCTGCACAGATTTGATGGTCGTCGTAAAGAAAGCGTTAATTGGGTTGAGAAGCATGTAACCTACATTAATGCTTGGAACAATAGGGCTTCATTCATGCCAACTCTTGACGCCATTCAAGACGACGACTTTAATTTTGAGACTTCGGCTTACCTTGCTTATTTTTTGGATAATGGAAAGCCGTTCCTCACAACAATAGTAGAGAGGCGGCAATTTTTGAGGTTTAAGAAAAGATTGGTAAAGCTGAATTATCTCTACCGAGTGGGAGTGGGAGTTCATCTCTACAAACTGAAGCGGAAATGACCGATGTGGATAATAGCGCACCACAATCGTTGCATCACGCAGTTGATGATTCTACTGGCCCGGCATACATACCAGAGTTTGTGCAACCTGAGGCACCCATCTATTCTCCTACGTTTTCGTCGACGTATGACTTTGAACACATGACAGTTCAAATACCCCCAATGAATGAGGGGGATGGGTACAATACTCCTGAGCCACAACGGCCACAACGTATCAGACGTCCGCCCCGACATTATCATTCAACAACACCCCGACATCGACAACAATTGTAAACTCGTTTGCTATTTATTACAAATTATTTATTGAAATTAGACTACTTTTTTTAACCTTAACAATGATTTTTAGTATCAAATCATTACTAGTATCAAATAATTAGTATTAAATCATTATTATAAATAATTACTAAATAATAACATAATAATTATTATAAAATCATTATTATAATGATTATTATCAAATCATTACTAAATCATCAAATCATTAAATATTTAAATCATTATTAAATCATTTTATAATGATTATTACTAAATCATTACTATAATGATTATTATCAAATCATTACTAAATCATCAAATTATTAAATATTTAAATCATTATTAAATCATTTTTATAATGATTATTACTAAATCATTATTATAATGATTATTATAAAATCATTATTATAATGATTATTATCAAATCATTACTAAATCATCAAATCATTAAATATTTAAATCATTATTAAATCATTTTTATAATGATTATTACTAAATCATTACTATAATGATTATTATCAAATCATTACTAAATCATCAAATCATTAAATATTTAAATCATTATTAAATCATTTTTATAATGATTAATAAATACATAGAAATACATATATGATTACTAATGATGAGGCCTATATCTTGGTAAATTAGGACAATTGTTTTTTGAATGGCCTTCACCTCTACATAATCCGCATCTCTTTGCTTGACCTCTCTCTTTAGCATGAAAATCCATACTGGTATGAATTCGAGTGGACTCAGGTCGACCCTTTGGACTTCTGCGAAGCATTGGATTTGGTAGCCATTCATCATGATCCTTTTTGGGCCAATATGATTCATTCGGGATCTGTCTGAACACATAGCTGTAGACATTTAATATCCTACGTAGGTGGAAGCATTCATCAACATAAGTGTATGCGCTTACACCAGCATACATACATGCAGCGACTGCATGAGCACATGGATATTTCCATGCCTGAAAACGACCACAATCACACCATTTGTGTCGTAAATCAACTCTAAATGTTTGGTCTTCTCCTCCGACGTTACGACGTATGCACGACACGACAAAAGTATGACCAACTCGGTCGAAATTATGAACAACCATTGATGTTGCCAATCGCTCATTTGCTTCCATTGATTCCACCACTGTAGGAGCCCAAGTTTTACCTCTATTTATGAGACTCTCAATTTCCTTGCCTTTGTCCGACCAAACTTTACCCAGTCTAAAGTACGTCTCTTTCACCACACTCGCTATTGGGAGATGGCGTGTACCTTTTAGTACGAATTAATGGCCTCAACAAGGTTTGTGGTCATATGTCCGTATCTCCGACCTTCATCGTATGCTTGCGACCATTTTTCCCGCGGTATTTTTGAAGCCCACTTCCAAACACGCTGATCATCGTAAAATACCTTCAAATTCTCCAATCTCTTATCAAATTTGGTCGACGTAGTTCGTATCCTGTTCCATAATATATTGTGTTAAACCGCAATTAAAAAACCACGTAAAAAATACACAAATATTGAAATTAAAACTTACCCATGCTGACTATCTCGCTACGAATATGTGCGTTATGAACTGGTCGATACTATTCTTGCCAATATGACGGATACAAAATGTCGGATATGCATACGGAGGTATCCAACGACTTCCTGGTCGTTCAATTGCCGCCAAAATACCCGTTCCTCTATCGGATATCAAGCAAACTCCATCTTCACGAACGACATATTGACGTAGATTGGTCAGAAAGAAATCCCAAGCCTCTGTTGTCTCTCCCTCAACAATGGCGAATGCAATTGGGAAGATATTTCGCTGACCATCTTGAGCAACTGCCATCAAAAGTACATGCCTATATTGACCATACAACCACGTACCATCTACTTGGATCATACGTTTGCAAAATGGAAATCCTTCAATACATGCCTTGAATGCCCAAAATAGTCTATGAAATATTTTCTTCCCTGGCAGAAGTTGACCTTCTTCGTCATATGCGGGCATGGTTTGAGACTTCACTATAGTTCCTGGGATAAATCGCTTCATTGCTTGTAGCAAATGTGGTAGCTCATTGTACGATGTATCCCAATCTCCATACGTCAACTTCATTGCCTTCATTTTCGCATTCCACACCTTGCCATATTTTACTTGATATCCAAATTGGCTTCGAATAGATGCAGCTAACACTGAACAAGATATCCTTGGATCCTTTTCAACCATCGCCTTCACGTATTCACATATTACATCGGAGTCCAATAGTCGGTGGTCTTGTTCGATGGAGTTTCGCAAACATGTGTGCGAACCATTGTACCTCGTGATGACCCAAACATCGTGCCTTTGATTTTTCGACACTCTGATCTTCCACTTGCACTCTGGGCCATATTTTACACACTTTGCGTATAGGGTTTTCTGGTTGGACTCTGCAACATGGACATCAACATGGCATTTGATGCAGTACTCTTTAATCGCCAGCGTAGCTTCATTTTTTCCTCTGAATTGCACCCCAACTGAAAATTCACCAGAATTATCGAATGATTCAGTCATTTGGTACGGAGGTAAATGTGGCATGTCTGGGAATTCAGGTGCCCTCATTGCATCATAATCTATCTCGTACATGTGAGGAGTAGCTTCATACGGTGTCGGAACTTCATCAATTGCACCTCCACCAAAAATATTTTCGTCGCCGCCCAAAACGGGTTCTTCAGTTTCTTCATCTTCGCTTGAATCATCATGAATTTCTCCCATCGATTTTCAGCGTCATTATCAACAACCAATTCCGGTATGTTTCTCGTCTCATACTCTGCTGTTGTAGATGTCCCCCCGACTTCATTTACACTTTCCAATAGTGCCATGAAACTGTTCGGGAACCTGTATGTCGGCTCCTCAAACTGACTATATAAAGCCATTTCAGATGGATTTTGAGCCACACCTCTTGATGACCCAGGAACATCACATATGTTACGCACATCAACAATAATTCAATAACTGCTATATTGGTTGACTCATGTAATCCAACCATGGTTCCAATATCATCATCTTCTTCAAGTGGAACTGCAGCATATCTGACTGGGTTAGAGCATATCATAAACCTATACCTCAAACCATCAACTGCAGCTCGAATTTTTCTTTCTATCTTATGCTTCATTTCTATAAATGTGATGTTTTTTTTGAACATCATATTTATTGGTTTTTCAGACTGAAAAACTACTCCGACCTCATTTTCCATAATCTGTCCATTATAATGGACAATCGTGAAAAAGTTGCTGCTCATTTTCTCTACAAATAAAAAAAATTAATTTAGATTAAAAATTAGATAAGATAATTTCATAAATTATTAAATATAATATAATATACTATTATATTAATGATCAAATAAAATTTATTATTTAACTTGATTGATTGCTTACTAATAAACCTAATAATGATTTGATAATTACTATTAATCTAATGATTTGATATTTAATGATTTAATAATAATATAATTTAGTCATAATCACTAATAATTATTTATTATAAATATTTAATGATTTTGATTTGATACTAATTATTTAGTAATTATTACTAATAATAATGATTAGTTTGATAATATTTTTTATTTTTTAAAAATATCAAACAAATTTGTTAGGCAAAACTGTCGATATACTGTTCTCGAAATAATTATTTCGCGAGATAATGCGTTGTCCGATTATTTCATTCAATTAATTTTTACTTCTTACTAATATACACATACAATGTAAATTAAACAATTTATTTTTAAAACAACACTAAATATTTTTAAACACAATATTTTTTAAAACGGAAATTATCTCGCACAAATTAGTTTATATAATCTAATATAAACTTACTAACTAACTAATTTACACATACACAACAACAAAAAATGGACAACAAAAAATAATAAATTACTCACGTCTTTATGCCTTCTTCCTTTACTTTTTTTCCTGCCTTGTTTCTTTCTTCGAATCAATCTGTACGTGGGCAAATATTGTGAAATAATGTCATGTATGTGTAAACAAATATTTATTTAAACAACAATAGCTCCCACAAATTAATTTATATAATCTAATATATTATAATATACCTTAAACTAATAAACTATTTCTTTATTATAATATAACTTAGTTAAAATAACAAACTAATTAAGCACTAATTAATTTTTTTATAATATAACTTCAACTTCAACGAACAACCTAATATACGTTTAAAGACACATACAAATTAATAAATATTTTTATATTTAATAACTTAAACTAAGAAACTAATTAACTAATTTTTTATATAATATAATATATAACTAAACTAATAAACTAATATAATATAACTTAAACTAACAAACTAATAATTTATACTAACAAACTGATTAACTAGATTTTAATTTTACCCTAAACCCGAAACTAACAAACTAATAATTTCATATATTAAACTAAATTAAACAATAAAAAAATTACCTCACGAACTATGTTTGAGCCTTTATCTTCTTTTCTTCTTCTTCCTTTTCTTTCTCTCGGCAAAGTTTATATTTGCCGGTTCTGCTTGTGCTTCTACCCTAAACACCATATCCTTTATATATATAAAGCAACTGAGCGTTGGACAGAGTCATTAAATTTGATTGTTGAAGCAAATAATATTAGCATTGTCGTCTAACTATTGAGCATTGAAAGGCTGACAGCTAAATTAACGCTGCAATATTGCAACAACACATACAGCTACGGGTGCAGGAATCTCAGCTATGATGCAACGCATGCATGCAGCAGCTACGGACCAGACCTTGGTCGCCGAGACTCCATGGCGACCTACCGACCACGCCGCCGTGACCTACACCGTTCGACGTGCATGGCCATGCACAGTTCCCACGTCCCATGCACAGCATGCATGTGCATGACCATGCACAGCATGCATCCCCTCCCCCATGCATTCCCACGGCCCATGATTTTTGCAAAATATGCACAGGCGCCATGCAATATACCTTGGAGGTCGCCCGGATTGCATGGCGACCTCCAAGGTCGCCTGGATTGCATGGCGACCTCCAAGGTCGCCTGGATTGCATGGCGACCTCCAATGTCGCCTGGATTGCATGGCGTCCTATGGCGATCACTGTAATTCACCCCATTCCAGCAATTAATCTATGATGTGCACCATATCGTGAAAAAAAAAATTCGAGAACATTATCTCGTGAATTTACCCCACCGAGTAAGTTCATAAACTCATAATCAATTCATTATAGGGTAAACTATACATTAGTACCTGAACTTTTAATTTTTTCAAAGCCATGATTAAATTTTATTTCATTTTAGTAATTTTTAAAAATTTAACAATAAATTTTAAAATAAATTAAAAGTTTAAGTACTAAAATGAATTAAAATTAATACTTTAGTGATTCGAGTTTAACTGGAATACTAAAATGAAATAAAAATTAAACATTAGATATGATAGTTTAAGTATTAAATGTACAATTTAATCTTCATTCTAGATAGTGGCCAATCTAGAGATCAGGTTTTTCTAATAAAAGAGCCCCCAATATCTAGATTGGCTGCTGTCTATTATCATGAAGGCAAAATTACACATTTAGCACCTAAATTTACACATTTAGTGCCATTTAAATTCATTTTGGTCCTTGTGAAGTTTTTTTATTATTCAATCTAGGTCTTTTCAATGGAAAATTTATGACTTGACCCCCTGAGAATTTAAATTTCAATAGGTCCAGAGTACTATTTATATGAAAACGTAAATGATGAGTAAAACGTTTGTTGCTTATGCTTAATTACTGGATTTGTTTCAGCATTGAGATTTATAAGCATCCAAAGGAAGAAAGGATAGCAAGAACATGGGGAACTATTGCCCCTGGATTACCATATGTTGAATAAACAATAACAAATGCTGGGAATTGGCTAATTGGAGGTGATTTGGAGGTTATAGAGCCGATCAAGTACAACGACGGTCTCGATCGATTCCGGCTGTCACCGACCGAACTACGTCAAGAGTTCGAAAGGCGCGATGCTGATGCTGTGTTTGCATTTCAGCTCAGGAATCCTATTCATAATGGTCATGCTTTGCTAATGACAGATACACGTCGACGACTTCTTGAGATGGGCTACAAGAATCCTATTCTTTTGCTTCATCCATTGGGAGGGAATACGAAGGCGGACGACGTTCCTCTCAGTTGGCGAATGAAACAGCACGAGAAGGTGACTTCAGAGCCAAGCAACCTAAATTTCTCTCTCTCTCTTATGACCCTTTGATATTTTTGTCTGATTGATGATAAATATGTTAATTCAGGTTCTTGAGGATGGTGTTCTTGATCCCGAAACAACTGTGGTCTCTATATTCCCATCTCCTATGCACTATGCCGGCCCGACTGAAGTACAATGGCATGCTAAGGCTCGGATTAATGCTGGAGCCAACTTTTACATTGTTGGTAGAGACCCAGCTGGCATGGGCCATCCGGTTGAGAAGAGAGATTTATACGACGCGGATCATGGGAAAAAGGTCTTGAGCATGGCTCCCGGACTCGAACGACTTAACATCCTTCCTTTCAGGGTAATT